ATGAAGGAGGGGAAGGGATGGGAGAGAAAAACGTAAGGAGGGAGGGAGGGAGGGAGGAAGGAAGGAAAAGAAAAGAAAGATCCTCTGTTTTTTTCCTTCAGACTTACAGTTTTAACTCTTAAAGTTATGATTCATCTCAAGCCAATTCCTTCTTTTTTTTTTGTTTGCAGTACTGGGGTTTGAGCTCAGGGCTTCAAGCTTGCTAGGCAGGTGCTCTACCACTTGAGCCACTCCACCAGCCCTTTGGTTGTTTTAGTTATTTTTCAGATAGTGTCTTACACTTTTTGCTCAAGGCAGCCTCCAGCTGCAATCCTCCTACCCATGCCTCTTGCATAGCTGGAATTATGTAAGTGTACCACCACACCTAACTTGTTTGTTGAGAAGGGGTCTTGTCATCTTTTGTCCCAGGCTTGCCAGAAACTGGTATAGAACCTTTTAATTTCTACCTCCTGAGTAGTTGGGATTACAGACATAAGGCACTGCACCAGGCAGCAACTTTTTCCATATAGACGTGCAGTTGTTTTAGTCCTCTTTGTTGAAATGACTTAAAATCTCTCACCGTGTCTATATTTTTGTGGTGCTCGGTAGTCCTACCATTTTCATTTTACAAAGTAGGACACATGCTCAGAGAGGTTAAGTAAACACAGCAGTCCCAGGGTTCATAGCCTGGGACTACTGGGGATTTAACTCGTGCTTAGTGTTCTACTACTTGGGTCATGCCCTCAGCCCTGTTGCTTTTAGGTTGTTTTTCAGATAAGGTCTCATTCATTTGCCTGGGATGGCCTCAGACTGTGATTCTCCTACTTCCACCTCCCAAGTAGCTGGGATTACAGATGTGCTCCATCATGCCTGGCTTGTTTTTTGAGATATGGTCTTACTAACTTTGCTGCAGCAGGCGTCAAACCACAATCTTCTAATCTCTGCCTCCCGAGTAGATGGGAGCTTCAGTATACTCAACCTATCGTATCTTGTATTTTTAATTACTGTCCAAGTGCCAGTCTTGACCCTGTGTCTAAAGTTCACAGCCAAGTACAGACCTGTCATGCAATGTTCTTGTTTTTGCATGAAGAGAATCGACTTCCCAGATGGAGCTCCCATTTCCAGCACATCGGTGGCCCCAGACTTCAATTGCCAGTGCTCCATCTGAAATGAACTCCAGGAACTCTTCTGTGACATTCACCACATAGTCCTGGCGTAAACAGTAGAAAGGAGAGTGCAAGAATTATGTGTGAGAAAAGTTAAAAAAAAAAACTCTAAGAAGAAAAAAGTTATGCACAAGGAGTCTGTGAAATTTCCCTTTCACCTGTAAACAGGTTTACTTGGGAGGATATTAACCTGATCTCAAGCTTAAACTCATGTCTTTTGTTATATGGGAATCCATAAAGAACCTTAGCACATTTGATATGGAAGGGAAATCGGGAGGCTATTTAATTTAATCCTCTTTCTTTGTTTTGTTTTGTTTGAGACAGGGTCATGCTGTGCAGCCCAGGCTGGCCTTGAACTTGGGATCCTCTTGCCTCTGCCTCACAAGTGCTGGTATTACAGATACACACCACCACACCCACTTCAAGTGAAGAAAGCAGCTTGTGTGAAATCAGACTGCTTGCTGAGTCTCCATTCTCTTACTCTTGGTTCATTCTCAGTTCTGCTCTTTCAGCTGGCACACACTAATTCAATGAACTGTTCTTTGCCATGTCTTAGGAGACTAATGACAGAATTAAAATAAATTATCTACAAATTATCTCCACCATCTAGGCTCTTGCTCTTAAGCTTTCCCACTCCAATTCCTTATTCTAAAACACACAGATAACTACAGGGTAATGAACACTGAATCCACTGAGAAATGTGGCAGATCACCCAGAATTAAGCAGTGGGAAGGGACCAAGTCAATTTCCCTTCCATCAGCCTCTCATGGGGGTCACCATGGAGAGGCTCAGATACAGTCATTCTGCCACACTAATTTCCAGAAACAGCTGGGTTATATTGACTTAACCTACACTCTTTACATTTTTTTAATCTGGAGACAGACCCAGATTTTTAGAAGGAAAAGAAACTTAATGATCAATTAGTCTAATCTATACATTTTAGAAATGAAAAAAACTCTCAGGTCACACAGTGAGACCCAGGGGCTCTGGAACTAGCACATACTTGAACAGTTTTTAGCCATCTAAGATTCAAATGTTATCCTCTACATAAGCAGTTTTGTGGACTCAAAGAAAGATGGAGAATATTCAAAAGAATATTTGGAGAACAATAACACCTCTCCCCCCCAAAAAAAAAGATTACAGAAGATTTTGAGGAAAAGGCTTAGTGAGAAAGAGGCTCAGGGGAAAAAATGTAGGCTATTTGTTTACAGAACAAAAAATAATGGTCTCTACACATGTGAAAACTTATGGATGGTGATATGAACTTGTTTTCTAACTACAGAACTACAAAGAATGTGTACAATTTTTAAGAGAGTTTCCAGTATCTACTAAGGACTGCCCAGAAAAGCCAGATTACAGAGAGGAGAGAGTTGGTCTTTCAGAAGTCACTTGGCAGTCCCATGTGAAAGTCAGGAAGGGTGGGTCCAACCACATTCGTCCCAAATCCACCTTTTCCATTTTTTATTTCCTTTAAAAACTCATACAATATTTTAGAATGCTACCCTACAATCAAAAGGACAGTAACCATCTACAATGACGTGTAAGATGCCCACAATTCTGCATATGTATAATGTGATACACGCTTGCCACATATATTTGAAAGTTGTAGAGCACAGAAAATAGTTTATTAAAGTATGTGGGAGGGTACAGTGACATGCACCTTTTGTTCCAGCTACTTGGGAGAGGCAAGAGGACCACTTGAGCCCAGGAGTTCAAGGCCAACCTGGGCAGATAGTAAGACCCCATTTTACAAAAAAACCTAAATAAGGAGAATGATGGAGGGGGTGAATTAAACTATGATATATTGTAGTACTTTTGTGAATGTCACAAAATGGGGATACTGTACTGTATCCCCAGTACAGTAATAATAAAATAAATAAATAAATAGCAAACTGTCGCTGGTGATTAGACCTCTGTGGAATAAAAGCGAAGTTTGAGATCATTCAGATTTTATTTTAGGCGTTTCTAAATTATTTGAATTTGTAATAAAGTACATTTTGAAGTTACAAAGTCTAGTAATATTATGTTTAACAAAAATCCTTGTGAGGAAACTTTTAAGTTACAAGTAGATTTTAAAACTGAACCCAACTCCACTGTTCTGTAACGTAGCTCAGTTTATCATTGCTGTTTTGGGGACATAAGACAGGGCCCTGTGCATACTAAGTGCATGCTCTACCACTGAGCCACACCCTGGTCCTATCGCTCACTTTGCAAAGGTATTCATACCTTACAGTGAGAGAAGGTCACTGTATACTGGGCATCCTTGGACTGAGGTGAAGGCACTTCAGGGTCTACCACAGGGGCAGCCACTGTAGACTCACACTGGTCCCAGAATGTGTACTGACAGAAAACGAAATTGGAGAGGCTTAAGGGCAGCCCAGTTGCCTCTTTAATTTTTACCTGAAGATACATAAAAAAAAAAAAGGAAGGAAATATAGCTCCCATAAAGGAAACATTAAAGTATACAACATTCTTTTCTTTTTTCAGTTATTTCAAATTTAGAAGGTGATTAAATAAACCAGTCATCCATTTGACATCTGAAAATACTTGACACCATTTCATTAAGTGTTCTATCTACAATGGAATCTACCGTAGTTCTCTAATTACAATACACAAATGTAACAAGAAATGTGCAAACCCCTGTAAAATTTCCTAATGACTTAAGTTTCTGATACAGATGCAACCTTTACTAGAAAAACACAATTAACTCAGCAATATATACTCCTCATACGCCAAATACATAATTGACCCTCTGTTAGGCAACAGCAGATTGAAAATCTTTGAAAAACAGTTATATTTGTACTAAACATGTATGGAGTTTTTTCCTTGTCATATTCTCTAAGCAATGTAATAACTATTTACATAACATTTACATTGCATTAAGTATTATAAAAAAAATCTAGGGATTTGAAGTATACAAGAGGATTACATGTAAATACTACACCAGTTTAGGTAAGGGACTCAAGCACCTGTGTACTTTGGTGTCCACAGAGCATCCTGGAACAATTCCTGCACAGACAGCAAAAGAGGAATGTACTTTTTGAAATACTTCTGGAATTTTATGCAACTGTCATTATAAAGTAGGCTAAACTTCTGGAAAAATATTGTCCAGGTTGAATCTATTGTGAGACAATTTAATGTTTATTATGCTGGATGAAAACTCTCTTAAAATTTTTTGTGAAATTGTTTTGCATTGCAAAAGGTCATTTATATGAGCCTCCGCATCACTGTTCTCTCACCCGGCACGTCAGTTTCTTGACTCGGTGAATGATTTCTCCACTGCTGTCAACAACTTCAAGGCTCCCACTTTCACTGGAGTTCTCTGAAGAGTCATCCTCCACCATGCGCTCTGGGACAGCTCCTGTAACCCGCATCACTTCCACATGGAGACGCCCTGCAACCTGGGTCGAGGAACCACAGCACCTTGGAGTTAAAAGGTATCCTGGCAGAAGAGACAGAAATGCAGCCTCCAGCAGCCCAGTGAGCAGTTACACAGCTTTGCCTGGCCATCTTCAGCAATGGGAAACCCACTCTGCCAGAGTCAGTCCATCCCACCATGACCCCCTGCAGCCTTTCTGCCTTCTCTGAGCCAAATCTGCTCCCTTTACAACTTGCCTTCTGGAACTATCCCCACTTGTATCCATCCTCCTCAAGGTCAGCCTAGGAAGAACTGAAAGGTAGCTATCATTTCCTACCTGAAACCATCTATTTTCCATGTTGGTTTATATACTTTGAAAGGCATTCATTTGATCAAATGTTTTGGTAACTTATTTATTTGCTCAGGAAGTATTTACTGAGAATGGGTGGTGCCGGCAACTGTGCTATGTTTACCATAGGAAGCCAAATGCCCATCCCTGGGCTCATGGAGTAAAGGATGGCAGGCAACTCAGATGGCAACAAAAGGGCTCTGTGTGGTGGCAACACCAGCCCTATTCCAGGAGAAACAGCCTAAACAAAGCCTCATAGATATGAGAAACAATTCTCTTGCTTTTTGATTTTGTAGTCTAGGTTGGCCTTGAACTTGACACCCTCCTCCCTTACTTCACCTCTCAAGAGCTGAATAACAGGCAAACACCATCACACTTTGCTACAATAAACAGTTCTTTTAAAGCTGTTTTTCATCAAAATGCTTTAAATTTTCTCACTGTGGTAGCAGTTCTCTGGATAGGTGCCAGCTTGACAGAGTTTCTTGTAAAGCTGGTTGCACAGAACTGAATTAAGAGATTAGTGATTATCGTTAAACTTGCATTCTTGTAGTGTTTTAATTGGCTGAGTTATTTTTCATTACCCAGTTCAAGGTTGTGATGACTGTGGTTGTAAAGGTGACACATATTTTGTTAGTGCTACTGTCACCCTAAACAATAACTTTTAAAGGTAGCTCAATCCCAATTTCCATATAGCAGCTGGCACTAGGACCACAGAGCTAAGAGAAATTAGTTAATGATATTTAACAAATGAGACAAATAAGAAGGAAGAAACAGGAGGGGTGGAAAGGAAATAATGTACATCAGCTGAAAGACAGTGCTTCTCAGGCTTTCGTCAATGCTTCTTTGAGAATCTAATACATTTTACATATAATTTCTGGGGATGCATGGAATGTTCACCCATGGATCCCAGCTTAAGAACCCCTGAGCAAGGGCCTCACCCACTCCTACCCCAGGTGTTGTGTGCATTTTTAACATTGAGAAAAGCAACACTGGCCACTGGCCTAGACAGAACAGTCACAGGGGGTTACCACACAGACATGGGCTGTGTCCTCTCACCCCACAACCGGGGAACTCAGGTCTATTTCCCAGCTTCACTTTGGGGCCAATGCCACCTTCTTCCCAGCCTGCTCTAAAATCAAAAGAAATAATTTTGTCGTTCAAGTTTGTATGTTATGAAGGCCAAACTAGGAAGTCTTAAATTGAGAATAAAAACAACAGCTGATGAGATGGGTAAAAGTTCAAAGTAAGGTTTGAACTTACACATTTTCTAAAATGTCTTAGGACTACATATGGCTAAAATGTCTCAATAAGTGAAGTAAAATCATTTAAGGAGGGAAGAATGGATTATTTAAGCTTGTTTTCTTGAGTATTTTGGGTTGCAAAATAATCCTCCCAAGTTGCACCTTGTGAAGACCACTGAGGGACCAGGAAGGAACTAGAGTGTATTACAAAAGTATAGGATTATCTTTAAAAAGAGAAATTAATACGGGCAAAAGTGATGAATCTGGTTTCTAAAAGATTTCCCCTCTGACTTAAACAAAGGAACATCTTGAGAACTGCAATACAAAATGTGTTACAAGTACCTTTTAAGACCATGGCTTAATTCTGACAGTTTCTACTAATACCACCTACTAAGAAGAAGAAGAAAGAATGCAGATCATGACCATTTGCCCGTTTCTTGATCTACCTCAAGACAAAGCTTTTAAAAAAAAAAAAAAATCGGAGCCTTACCTCCCCCTGCTGGCTGATGATGGGAACTGCATACTGAAGCTTCACATCACAAAAGAGGCATTCCAAGAACACATTGGCCACACCAATCAGATTGTGATTCTCTTGGGCTTCATAAAAGGGGTCACCCCTTTTCCCATACAGTCTCTTTGCCTGAGTGGTAGGAGAAGCCAGTGGGTGGGTAAGCAGGAAACAAAATATCAATTTAAATTATATTATTTAAAAATAGCATTAAAACTTTTTAAGGAAGCTTTTATGGAGATAACCTAGAATTAGAATCATGTCCATACATGAGAGGGACATGTTTATTGGGGAACTAAGTGACACCCACATGGAGGATTCCTCTTCTCTTCCCCATCTTCCCCATCACACCCCACCTGCATCCTTTTCCATCTCACTCCCTGAGTTTTGTTTTATCTCCTTTGCCAAGTCTTCAATTACCAATGTCCAGAAAAAATGGATTATGCACAGAAAAATTACTCTAGAAATCTACCAGCCATGATCATAGTGAGGGGCACACGAACAACGAACATTGCAAACAAATATGAAATCCATGCTGGCTCCGGCCAATCTGATTTTAAACAGCGTAAATATAATTCGTTCCACTTTTCATTCACTTGAAATGTAGTAAAAATGGAGCCAGCTCCTCATTTGAGAAACTGCTGTATGTGCTCTCTTCTTTCTGCCTCCATCTGTGTAAACAATACTGAACCCAACCTAGCCTTCTTTTCAAGATTCTGTTACTTTATTTTCCTAGTATAAATGTACAAAGTATCACTGGTGTATCTCTGTGTGTGTGCATGTGTCTGATGGTTAAGTCATTCTTCTCTTTGATTTTTAAAATCAAATCTCCTTCACATTTTGTCTTTTACCTCAGGAATATTTTCCTTCCATTCTTGATAAAGGTCTCTCATGTCAATTAATTTATTCTCTAGCTTCTCAATGGTCCAAACTTGGGTGCTCTTTCCTTTTCTCCTCACTTGAATAGCTGGCTCACTCACTATTGCACCTCTCTGTATAATGAAGAAAAACAAAACAAAATGAACATTATTTTAACAATTTTTTTTGGGGGGGGTGGTTCTGGAGTTTTGAATTCAGGGCTTCACACTTGTTAAGCAGGTACTCTGTAACCCTTGAGCCATGTTCCCAGCCTCCTCCTTCCCTTGCTTTACTTATTTTTCAGATAGGGTCTCATGTTTCTGTTCCAGCTCAGTCTTGGATAGTGATTTTCCTACCTACAGTCTCCTACATAGATGGGAATACAGACATGGACCACCACCCCCAGTTTATTGGTTGAGATGGGGGTCTCTCTAACTTTTTGCCCAGGCTGGCCTTGAGCTAAGATCCTTCCAATCTCTGTTTCCAGAGTAGCTGGAATTACAGGTATGAGCCATCACACCTGGCCTATTTTAACTTTGATTTCTAAAGCACATGTATATGTGTGCGTCTGTGTATAAAAGTAAGGTAATAAAATTTGCAAAGCACATAAATGTATACAGAAGATAAAATTCTACCACCTAATAGTTTGGTTTACTTTTTACCTTCTATGTATACTCATAGACACACTTTTTAATCTCAACGTGACCAAATAAAAATATAATTTCATACCCCATTTCTCTCTCTCTCCACTTTTATGTTCTGATCATTTTCTTATCATGAAATGTTCTTGGTAAGCATGATTTTTAGTGGCAACAGAGCAATCCATTGCATAGATTTATCACACATTTGACTAATCATTTCGTTGTTCAACACGGGTGTTTCAAGTGGAAAAAGGCCACTATGGTAGCATCCTTGTACACAAAGAACATTAAAGTTTGTGCACTTCTATGCCTATGGACTTAGAACTACTAGATCAAAAAACTAAAACCCAACAACAGTGGTAAAATATTCCCTAGCTCACTTTCTAGCATGCTTGCTGCACAGAAAAATAAATGTATGAAAACTATTTCCTTCCAGATTTCTCCCTTATAGGAAAAATTTTCCAAGTTGAAATGACAGGAAACTCCCAAATGGCTGCCAAGTGCTCTAAGTATGTGCAGACAGGTATCATTGATGTCTCCCTTTCTTAAAAGAATTCGCTGTTTTTTGGTGGTACTGGGATTTTGAACTCAGGGCTCCACGCTTGCTAGGCAGGTGCTCTACCACTTGAGCCATGCCTCCAGCACTAGAATTCACTCTTAACAAAACATACACATATCCCCATTTCAGAAGGGGGCATTTACATGCAAGGAAAAGGAGTCATATTTGAATGATTACTTTCATATATTTCTAGGTTCACTGTTTCAAAGAAAGCATTTAAATAAGCAAGTCCTTCAGCCAACAAAATTTTGCATATTCTGCTTATAACATATCTAAGGGCATTGTTTAAATAGAACTCTTACCAAGAAAAGTAGAAACAGGAAGACCTAAAGAGAGTAAACACCTTGATTCATATCAGGATGTTCTTAGGGATGCTCTTTGGACTAGCGTATTATTTACTAGCATATGTCTTGTTTTCTTCAAGGACATTCTTACCTTTCTATTGGCACTGAGATTTGTAGCAGGAATCTGAAGAGTCACTTGGTAGTCAGTAAGTTTGCTCATTTCCTCAGCTAGGAAATTTGCTTCCCTCACCAGGGTGTTTGCTTTAACAAGTTGCTCTCGTAGTTTTGCCAGGCTTTGCCTGAAGAGTTCATCCCTGTGGAGTCACAGAAAAGGAAATGAACATATGCAAAAGAAAACTGCAATCTTGTTTCTAAGTGAGTAATCTTTATTAGAAGATGGTAGACTTCATTATGAAACACCATACATTGCATAATTAATATGTGCTAATAAAAAAGTGGGCAAAAAAAAAAAAAAAAAGAAGAAAAGAAAATGTTGGGCACAGTGGTGCATGCCTGCAATCCCAACACTCTGGAAGCAAGAAGATTTTGAGTTTGAGGCCAGCTTGAGCTACACAAAGAGACCTTGTCTCAAAAAAAGCTAAAAGAAGAAGAAAGAAAAAGGAAAAAGGAAGGTAGAAAAAGGGAGGAAGAAAAGGGTGGGGAGAGGAGGAGAAGACAAAAGGGAAGAAGAAGAGAAAGGTAGAAAACTCTTTTCAGGCAATATTTTCAGGTCACCTTTGATCATTCTCTCCTGCCCACAGAGAGGCTACCTACATTATAAATCACTGCTGGGGAGCACAATGCAGAGTGGATTAATGAAAAACAGGTTTCAGAGCAAGGGGTTGCAGCTCAGTGCTCGAGTGTTTGCCTCCCATGCTCAAGCAAGGACGTGGGTTCAATTCCCAGCCTGCACACACATGCAAACATACAAGTTTTAAATGAGATAACACTGACTTGATTTCTTCAGTTAGTGAAAGTCATGCTGCATACTTGTGTCCCAGAAGGAATTCTTTTTGTCAACTCCACACAGAAGTACTTGCTGAAAAAGTCTCTCTAACACTCTGACTTGGTCAAACCTTATTACGTGGTCACCCCCATGTCTTTTGCCTCCTAGCATTTGTCATAGTTTCATTTGTTAGTATAATTACTAGACTAGTCTATAAGAGCCCCTTAGGCTGGGACCGTGTCCCTTTTTTTTTTTTTTGTCACACTTGGTTCCTGATCAAGCGTATGACCCAAGAGGATATTTAAAAATTACCACTGCATGAAATGAGTGCTTCTCGATTTCACTTTTGAATCTGGGTTCAAAGACAACCCAGTCTAGAGAGTGCTCTCTGCCTTACACTTGTAACTTCTTTTTTCCACTGTTACCTCATAGGACACAGATGAGCATAGAGCATCCAAATCCCTCCTCCTTTCTGGTCACCTCAGAAATGACACAGGAGACACACTGCAAGGGCTGCTCACATCAAGACAACAGCTTTCCTAATAACACTGCCATTTTCAAATCACCTGGGCTTACACTCTTTCATTAAGTTCAGTCTTTTCTCTTTGTCCACAATATCCAAAGCCTTTGTGATTCTTCCTTTGAAACATGTCCTAAGTGCCTCTGTCTGTCTGTCTGTCTGTGTCCTTTCTGTCTCGCAGGAGCTCCTCTTTTCCCCAAGGAAAAATCCCCTAACACTCTGTCGGTCACCCCCAATAGTTTTAGACTTAATTCTCCCAACACCCCTATAAATCACCTTCTACAATAAACAAAATAGCTCTCCTACAACCTCCCAAATGCACCTTAGTTTTCTTCAATGCTTTCTGTTTATGCCAACCGCCCTCCCAGCTGAAATGCCCTCCTACCAGGCTGGGGTGCAGCTTCGTTGTAGTGCTCAAGCTTAGCATGTGCAAGGCTCTGGGTTCAATTCCAGAACCTCTCACTGCAAAAAGACAAAAAACAAAAACCCTCCTACCTTCTTTCTGTCTATTCAAACCCCACCTTTCAAACTCACTTGAAATCCTTTCTTCTTCATGAAAATATATGCAGAAGACTCAATGTCATTATGGCTTCATCCTCCACTGAACAATCCACCTTTGACAGGTCTCACCAACCTCTTCCCAAGTCTCTGTGCCCTGGAGTCTTGCCTCTAAGTTGCAGGTCTCCATTCTTACCTCTCCTCTGCCCACTGGGTCACCTTCTGCTGGGCTGTCTGGCTGTTGTAGGACAGGCGGTCGGGGCCACTGCTCTGTGGCTGCCTCTCAGGGGAGAGCTGCTGGCGGAGCTGCTCCAGCTCCCGCTCATACATGAGCCGCTGCTCCTCCAAGGCACTTCTCTTTTCTTCTAGGTACTGCTTCTCCAGGACCTGAACTACATTTTGAACTGGGTCTGGTGAACCAAGAAAAAAGGCAAGGGGTCTTCAGTGGTGGCTAAGACAGGCATCGACACAGGCATAGCAGCCTGTCGGGGCTTCCTCTAGCAATAATCATCTCCTGCCTCAGAATCTAGCTTGACAGTATGCTTTCTGACAAGAGGCCTGTGGGTTCAGAGATGAAATCCTGTTTCTTTTACTAACACTTCAGATAACTGCCCCATAAAAGTAAAATTCTCCACATCTACTCTGTTACGTTCTTCAATTTGATGAGCCCACCCTTACTTAGCCAGATCATTAATATACTACTAGCAGAGGGCAGAGAAGGAGGGGGTGTGATCCTGTCCACTGAGAAGAAAAACTTCATGAAATCTAGGAGAGCACCATGGACAGACAAAGCATGTGTGATCTGATTTTTACAGCACTAGGCTTCTATACCTCATTTAACATTGGTTTTGGTATGTGACAAAGGTTTTATAATTTTCTCCATGAATCTCATTACTAGTACATTTCTCTAAGGAGAAAACTTACAATCATAGCATAAGTTTGAAAATAAATGACTGAGTAGTCTGGCAATTTCTCAGAGGCTAATAGCTGAGAGGGCAATTAACCTGCTTCTAGCATCTTAATGGTGCAGAATGAAGCTCACCACCATACATGTGGGTGAGCAGGGACAGACACAGCACTGTTCACTAGGATCACTGGAGGTGGCTGTGACATAGGTAGGACTTGACTTAGAAGAGTTAGCTGACTGGGCAGGATATTAGCTTGATAATGACCAGTAAGCTGGATGCCATGGAGACAGATTTAAGGCACCGTCCACACGTACAAAAATTAATTACAACATCTCTAAGGAAGGAGACTGCAGGAAAAGCAGTATGCTGGACAATCTAGATGGGAGCACAAGAAAGAGCCACAACAGTGACTTTCCCAGAAGAGTGAGGGACTGAGCAGAGAGGCTGGGATATAATTTCCTCCTTATACATTCATTCACACATATCTGCCTGCTAGTCAATGCTATTTGTGCTGTGTTCCTACACATTAGTTTTAGGTTTAATTTCCAGAAGGAAGTTGGAAATGAAGATGACTTGGGAAGAATTTTTATATAACCTTATCATGGCTATTGACTGACTCTTCCAAAATACCCTACTGGTTTAAATAAACAGGTAAATTGTACTAAGTTTCTATATTAGCAGTAAGAAAAAAGATAACATGCTAGCTTTAAAACAAGGTTAAATATGCAAAGCAAAAAGGAGCAATTTGTTAAAATAACAAGATATACCCAATATAGGTGAGTTGTTTTAATAAAAATGTCAACCACAATGGCAAGTAGCTACTGGCTACATCTCAGGTTGGGGAACCAGAACCACTGCATGCTCCATCTTGTGAGAGCCTTGCTACAGACTCCAGGGGATTATCATTCAAATTTCAAAAATGAGGAAGCTGGGGATCAGAAAGTTTAAGCAGCTGACCTATGATCACAGAGCTAATAAGAGACAGCAACAGATTTTGAATTCAGGTAGGCAATTGGCTAGTTGGCTGGGGTAGGACATAAATTTAGTAAATAAATTTATGTGGCATTCTTACCCCAATGTTGTGTTAGAATTAGTACTCTGTCAAAGGGCAGATTTCTTAAAAAAAAAAAAAAGGTGTTCTTTGATAACATAAAATTCAGTGTTTTTTCAAAGGGAAATTGTGCTATAGAGCATTTGCTAAGAGACACTGACTGACACATTTAACCCACATGTCCTTCTTGTTAGTGCTGCAGCAACACACACAATCCTGTGGAGCTGAAGAAGAGGA